ACAAGTCTATATTTATACTAAGATTACCACAAGTGTAACTACCATCTGTCACCATACAATGCTATTACATTACCATTGGCTATATTCCCTATGCTATACCTTTTATCTCCATGAATTACTCAGTCCATAGTTGGAATCTTGCCTCTCCCACTTCCCTTCATCCATTTGCCCATTCCTGAAACTACCCCCCCGCCTGCCCCAGCAACAATGCCATTTTTGTTCTCTATATTTATAGATCTATTTGTGCTTTTGTTTGTTTATTCGTTTTGTTTTGTTTTTTTTTTTTTTTTTAGATTCCACATATAAGTAAAATCATATGGTATTTCTCTTTCTCTATCTGACTTATATCACTTAGCATTATACCCTCTTAGTCCATCCATGTTGTCACAACTGGCAATATATCATTCTTTCTAATGGCTGAGTAATATTCTATTGTGTGTACATTATGTGTAAATGTGTATATATATATATATATATATATATATATATATGTATATATCTACACACACATATCACATCTTCCTTATCCATCCATTAGTCAATGGACACATGAGTTGCTTCCATATCTAGGCTATTGTTAATAATGCTTCCATAAATATAGGAGTACATATATCCTTTCAAATTAGTGTTTTCATCTTCTTGGGTAAATACTCAGTAGTGAAATTACTAGATCATATGGCATTTCTAGTTTTAATTTTTTGAGAAACTTTCACACTGTTTTCCAGTACTTGTACCAATTTACATTCCCACCAATTTACATTACATTGTTGTGGGAATGTGCACAAGGGTTCCCTTTTCTCCACATTCTCGCCAACACTTATTATTTTCTTATCTTTTCTTCTGTTAATTTTCATATAGCAACTATTCTGTTTTGTGTCTTATGAAGGGATTAAACAGCACTCCATTTGAGGTGTGTACTGTTTCCCTTGTTCCTCACTTGAAATCATATTATTTTGTTACAGTGTAAATCTCTGACAGTGTGAGCATATTCAATATCAGAAAGCATCTGGAATCCTTTCTGGTTACTTTTAGAGCCTTCAAGAATGCACATATTCTGGGGCAGGTAAAAGAAAACAGTGTGAAAGTGACATAGATAAGGGGAATCCATGAGACCGGGAGATACATTGTAGACGCTGTGATGCATAGAGAGACATGCAGATGTCAGAGGAAGAGGCATTTTATAGTGGACTACATGGGAAAATGCTAGAAAGATTTAAACATTTTTTTCCAATCTAAATGATTTTTATATGTTTCCTTGTTAAATAAACTGAAATATTATTTTATAAGATTTTGGTCAAGCTTCTAAATAACTGCATTACTTTGTCAGTCTCTGTTCACTAGAATAAATCATTTTAGGCTTTAAAAGGGGAAAATTTTAGCAATTTTGTTTTAGCTTGTGAATTCACAGGAGGTAAGTAATTCTTAGAGCAAAGCTTCAAAGATTCAATATAAGATAAACAATTCTCTTCATCACACTTAATATTAAATAGAACAGAACTGCAGGCAGAATAATTCATTTTAACATTAAAATAAAATGAAGCACAACTTCTTTAGTCTGATTACTTAGGCATATGGAAATCCTAAAGGCTCAAAAAATAACAAAACTTGAAATGAGCAGAGACAGTATGTGGAGAATTTATAGATAAAATTTTCTGTCATTTATATTATGTTGTCTCTGTGTTCAGTTAAGCAGAAGAAATAAAATAGTCATCTAAAAGAAGCTGTGAAAAAAAGCAAGGTATGAGAACTCTGTTGTGATGATTTTTGCAAGGTGAACAAGCTCCTAATTCTTAGTTGTTCACATCAGAAATAATTTGACATTTTTTTATTCAATAAAGTATTCACTGAGTACCTACTATGTACTTGACACTATTTTCGCTCCTTGGGTTATAGCAGTGATAAAGGAAGTGGAGAAAGTAAAGAAGGAAAGGAAGTTTGGAAGTGGCAGCAAGTGTGGTTTTGCAGTTTTAGATGTAAAAGTCAGAAAAGGCCTCACTGAAAAGGTGGCAGTAGGACAGAGTCCCTCAGGACATGTGAGATGGAGCCATAAGCCTGAGGAATAACATTCCAGATAAAATGAATAACAGGTACCAATGTCCTGGGGCAGAAACACGCTTGTCATATTTAGGGAGCAGGAAGGAAGTCACTCAGGCTAGAGTGGAGTGATTGAGGGAGTCTGTGGAGATGAAGTCGGAAAGGTCACAGAGGCCAGACTGGTAGGGCTCCTCGATCATTAATAAGTGCTATGGCTTTCGCTTGAAGTGATGTGAAGCCTCACACTCAGAAGGATATGAGAAAAGAACAACAAGATCTGACTTATTCTCAAAGGAATTTTCTGGTCATCGGTTAGGAAGAGAGTAGAAAGAAATACAGGCAGAAGCAGGGAGACCTGTTAAAGGATTACAGCACCGATTCTGGTGGGGGGTGACGGTGGCTCAAACCAGTTATGGTAGTTGTGGCAGCAGTGAAGGCAGAGCTGGCAGAACTTGCTGATAAGTTGGTTGTAGTTTGTGAGAGATGTCAAAACGACTCTAAGGACTTTAACTTGAGCAAATAGTAGAATGAAGGTGTTATTTCCTGACATGAGAAGGATTGCAAAAGAACCAGGTGTAGGGGGCAGTAATCAGACGTTTGATTTGGTGTACCTTAAGTTTGTGATGCCTATTCAATGTCTACTAGAGTTGTTGAGTAATCAGTTATACGTATGCCTCTGGATTTGAGGGAGAACGCCAAGCTGGTGTTATAAATATGGAAGAGAAAGACATGTAAGTGCTGTTTAAAGCCACAGGGCTAGAAATAGAAAAGAGAAGAAGTATAGCAATGAATTCCAGGGCAATGCTAAGATTCGGGGGAGAACGGAGGAACTGCCTTTAGACTGAGAAGGCAGACTGCAAGAAGCACCACTTCATTATTGGAAACTTTCTTTCAGAGGACACTGGCAATGGAGGGGTTCTAGGGGCCCTATATGTTTTTTGTTTTGTTTTGTTTTGTTTTTTTACTCTTGGGAGGATTCACCTTGTCATCTGCCACTTACCCATCAGTTGATCTACATCTTACATTTCTGCTCTTACTCACCCCCTACCCCCACTCATGCCTGCATCACATTTGTTTTGAATATTCTTACTGTTAGTGCCACTTCACCTCGCTACAAAATGCATTTTTGAAAACCGTCAAAAGTAATTTGGGGATTTTATCTGGTGAATAAAATGGGTGACCAAATTGGTTAATACCACTTTTGATCAACTATTAGGTGTGACTGTTGAGTAATATCACCAAGTTTACTGTGTGGTTTATGTGCCAGATCTAAAAGCAACATCAAGAGGCACGTTCTAAAACGGTTTTGAGCAATGACATTACTGGAATAAATATGTAATTTCCAAGAGGACTTTTTTCAATTAATAATTTTTTTTAAGATTTTATTTTTTTTCAAAGATTTTATTTAATTATTTGACAGACAGAGATCACAAGTAGGCAGAGAGGCAGGCAGAGAGAGAAGGGGGAAGCAGGCTCCCCGCTGAGCAGAGAGCCCGATGTGGGGCTCGATCCCAGGAAGCTGGGATCATGGCCTGAGCTGAAAGCAGAGGCTTTAACCCACTGAGCCACCCAAGCACCCTTTTCAATTAATAATTATCTATCATATACAAATATAAGTTCTGTTAACTTGATTAACACTATTTCTTAACATTCTATTACTTTATCATATATATTCATACAGATACTTAAAGTCTATGAACACACAGATAGCCATAAATAATATCTAATTGAATCATTTCCCAGACTAAGAATTTCTTAAACAACCCCTATTCTCATTTAAGATGATTATCTTACCAAAAGCAATTGAAAATAATTTTTTAATGAGGAAAACATCTACAAAAACATATCTAATAATATTTTCCCAGCTATTACAAAAACTGCAGATAATGAACACCACAGAGTTACCAAAAAGCACCCTTGGATATCCGGCTACTACTGTTTGTAAGGGATATAACCCCTGCAAGTTATGCCAACTATTTGTTCACTGAACAGATATTTATTAAATTCTAGTATGTTCCTGATGCACATCACAATGAAAAGAGTTTAGTCTTTTAAGTTTTTCCAAGCACATCATAAGAGACTTACATGTATAAGGGAGGGAGCCAAAATAGTGCCGTTTACTTTCTCTGTAACAATCAGTCCCCCCAGGGAGTTTTACCATATGGAGAACCTGTCTGAGTAGATTAAAGAAAGACTAAAGAAGTAGAGCGTAGAGTTAGCCCTTTCTGTATACTGCATACAGACAGGACCATTAATCAATTACACCGTGACTCAGAAAGCTCCCTTGACAATGCTCGAACTGCTCTCCATGCCTCTGACTTGACCCATCTTCGGAGAGGAATGGGGTATCATGGAACAGCTTTTAGTTTTCTTTAGAAGCTAACTACCATTGTTGTTCTAGGTTCTGGGATACAAAGATGGGGTCTTGTCTTAAAACCATTATTATTTTTTGAGGGGAAAGATAGATCTTTGAGTAATTACATCAGAACATGATGGCTGTTGTGGTCGTATAAACTCAATGCACTCAGTGGGCATTTGGGGGGAAAGTCTAACGGTTACTGGCTTTACAGAGGAAGTGCCAGCATTATTCAAAGAGATATTACTTCCACTAAGCTCAGCAGGATGAGATAGATGAAAACTCTTGGGACCTAGCTTTTTCCCTTTGGAGCTTAATACTCCAGCTATTCCCGCACTTTCAAACCTTTTTCACTAGATTTGGCCTGACGCTTCATTGTGAGTAAAGTCTAATTTTCATCCTAGGACTTTGCCTGTAAAATATTTTCTAGTCTTTACCCCAGAGATTGCCATCATACTGAGGCAGAACGTTGTAATTGGCCCACTGTTCCTCACTTAAACTTGGTGGCTGGCCCCATTCCTCTTACTAATGTTGACATTAATTGCCGGAAGGAGGAAAGCGATTTCTAAATGTAGGTTTGCATGTTTCTTATTAGAAATAATAAACTTACAATGTTCTTCACGTGTTTCACTAGGACGGTCAGCTTCGTATCCTCATGTGATATCACCAACTGCACCTTAGGCGTCTTGTCAGGAAACTTCTCACCTGATAAAGCAATAGAATTTTGGTGGGTTAAACTGGAAATGGTTTATCGCAGGATAAATTAAACATTAAAAACTAAAATGGAATCAGTGAATAATCTGCAAAAGAAACATTCTTCTGATCATGCAAAAAACACAATACTCTTTAAGAAACTGAGTTGGTTAAAGATGGGATTTGTGTCTAATCATTCCGAACGAACCCTTTCTCCTCATATTTTGTGTTTTTGACTGATTTTGTGTTTGTTTTGATTGATAATTTTCCCCAATTATTTAAGATTGAAAACCTAGTGCCATTTTTGGCTCCTGTTTTCTCAACATTTACTACAATAAGTTTAAGTATTAGAGAGCATGAAGTGTTGGCTTTAAAAGTCAGTGAGCCTGGGGTTCAGGTCCCAGAACTATACTTAAGACTGTGTTCTGTGTGTATAATTAACTTATGACTAAGTTAATTGACTTCCTTAAAACAGAGATAATAGTTACCTACTTCAGGATAGTTTAGATGATCAACTGAGAAATTCAAAAGTCTTCACAATGTAATCTCTCCATAAATGTTTGAAATTAGTAATAGTCTTCTCCATATATTTGCATTCATTTTATCCTGTGTGTTTCCATAGCTCCTTGTTCAGAAGCATAAGAATCTCATGTCTAAATTACTAGAACATTCTCTTCTCCTCTCCTAAAACCCAAGTCTATTTGTACACAATTACTGGTATATTCTTCCCACAGCAACTTCCTAAAATTACTCTTTTGATCAAAGTACAGTTCATAGCTTTCCAGTGCTTATGAAAAAAACCCTGAATTTCTCAGGCTTATATTGCTGCTTCTTATTGAATCTGTTTTTTATTTCCCACTGTTACTATTCCATGCTGTAGTCTGTACGTCCAATTCTGCAAACATGCTCTGCTATTTCCTTCCAGGCATTGCTCATATTATTCTCTGTATTTGAAATGACCTCTTCCACCATTTTTGGCTATTGAACTTTCATCTCTCTAAAAGGCCTAATTAAAATGCAAAATAGCTTCTGCGGTTACCTCCCTTTGAACTCCCCCAGCACAGTCCTTATCACTTAATATTTGTATCATAATTATTATCTTACATGCCTCAGTTTGCTTAGTGGATTATAATCTCCCTCGAGGCGTACTTTTTTCCTATATCCCCAAGGGGTATATAAATCAGTGCCTGCACTATAATGTCACACTAAACATTTATTTAATAACAAAAATAGTCTTATGTTTTTCAAGTTGTATCATTCCAGCTTTAATAATTAAAAATTTCTGGTTTATAGCCCCCAAATTAAGCATAATTTATAGTTTTTCTGGTATTTCTATTGGTTATTCTGGTTGTATATTTTCTGAGGGAAGTTAGAAGTTTATTAATAACAAGAAATTTGGCAATGTTCTACTGTGGGCTCATCACGGTCAACATTGTTTTCTAAGAGTCAGCCTCAACACTCTAAAACTCTTTAATCTTTGATAATTAAACCTGACTAGTATGTTTCCTTTTCCAAAGATTTTTACATGTTTGTAAAAGTAGTTTACACATTGTACGTGGGTAATATTAATTAATGTTATTGTCCATGTAGATTATTGACATTGAAATAATTAAAATTGGCATTGTTTCTTACAATTGAAATGGTAATCACGTAAAAATAATTAAAATATTCTTCCTTTAAATATTTTTATTTGATAATATTTTTATTTGAGACAGTGTGAGTTAGAGATACTATGTGATAATTCTGAGTATAGTACTGAGGTGAATTGCTTTCATAGTAAAAAAAATGTAATTGGATTTTTGGTGTGAGGATGTTAAAAATGCTGATGGCTTTTTGATGCACAATGAACATTATTTTTGAATAAAGTGAAAAGATTACTACATAGAAACTCAATGTGTTTGATCAGAGGAGTTTTAATTTGAAGGTAAGAAATTAGTATTAAATTTATGATTGAGTATCTAAATAGTAACCATAGAACTGTTACTTGAACTGACTGAAGCGATATTCCACTCTGAAACTCCAGTGTAAGAACAGTAGCCAGTATCCATCAATACACGGCAGAGTTCAGAATTCAGTGAAAATTCAGGCCACCAGGAAGTTTTAGTGTTCCATATAGTAATAGTAGAGGTACTTAATATTTCTAGAACTCTTACTGTATGCCAGACATTGAGCTAAGAGCTTTATGTATATGAACTAACTCAATCCTCATCGCAAATCCATAAAGTTTGTGTTATGTCTGTTTTACACATGAGGAAACAAAGGCATTTGGTCAAAGGCCATGCAGACAATAAACCATGCAGGGTTAAATGATCTCTAAAGTCTATGTTCTAAAACAACTTGCTGTAAAGGGGCAAAGAAGGGGCAATAATCTAAGGGAAAGAGTTTAAATGAAGAAACCAGAGAGGGAGAATTTTGAGAATAGTTTCCTATGAACAAAAAGAGGCTGCAATATTTTGATTTTCTGCTTCAAATTAGTCTGGAGAATCTGTTATGCTTAATTCAACCATTTATAATAATCTTAAGAGCTGTTAAAAGATTATCGATCCTCAGATGATTATGTTGAAATGTTTGAACGCATGACACTTTAGGAGTAAACACAGCCCTTGTTATGCACAAAGTGTCCATTAATGTTAAAAAAGCAGCATTTCAAAATCTTTTTTCAGATGATAATATATTCATATAACTAAAAAAATAAGAATTTACTTTAAAAGTATACAATAAAACATCTTCCTCCCATTCCTAACACCTATCCACCCAATTCCCCCACCATTATTTCATTAGCTTCCCATGTATCCCTCCAGAGGGACACACATCCTTCCAGTTTCTCCAAATAAGCAAAAATGAATAAGTACTTTTATTGCCCGCCTCCCCGCTTTTCCACAAATGGAATAGCACATTTATTGTTCTGCACAAAGATCTTGGAGAAATTTTTATATTCAGTCAAAGCTTCTTTGTTTTTTTAAGTATAGCTGCATATTATTCCATTATGTGAAATGCCATAATTCATTTAACCAGTTCCCCACTGATGGGCATGTGCTTGTCTCCAATGTTTTCCAGCTGTTACAAACCATGCCACAAAAACATCTTTGTATGCATGGCATTTTGTATATCTTTTTTTTTTTAAAGATTTTATTTTATTTATTTATTTGACAGATAGAGATCACAAGCAGGCAGAGCAGCAGGCAGAGAGAAAGAGAAGGAAGCAGGCTCCCCGCTGAGCGGAGAGCCCGATGCGGGACTCGATCCCAGGACCCTGGGATCATGACCTGAGCTGAAGGCAGTGGCTTTAACCCACTGAGCCACCCAGGCGCCCGCATTTTGTATATCTTTGTGCACAATATTATATGATAAATTTCCAACAGTAAAATTGGTGGTCGAAGAATATTAACATTTGTAATTTTGATAAATGCTGGCAAATCACTTTCCATGGAGGTTGTACCAATTTGCATTACTACCAGCAGTGTATGAGTGCCTGCTGATTTGTAACCAAGCTTATTAATTAAATTTTTGGATTTTTGCCAATCTGATGAGTTAAAAATGGTATCAGTGTAATTTTAATTTGCATTTTTATAATGAGTGAATTTGAGGATCCTTTCTTTTGTTTATGAGCCTCTGTATTTTTTTGTCCACATTTTCTTTTCAAATTCTTTACACATTATTCTGTCTGTTGTTGGCCTTTTTCTTACCAATTTCTAGGAGATGGTTATTATTAGATAACCAACTGTTTGTAATAAATTGCAAATATTTCACCCATTTTATCATTTATCTTTGAATTTTTTAAAACTTTGCTATAGTTTCTTATATCCTGCAAAATTATCATGGCTTCTGGATTTGTAGTCATCACTATACTAGGTCATCCTCAGATTATAAAGGATTTTTTTCTGTTTTCTTTGTCATATATATGGCTTTGTTATTTACATTTAGTCTTTCACCCATTGGTATTTATCCTAGCACACGGTGTGAAATATGCTATCTCAACACTACTGAATTTTCCCATAGGGGTCTGATCACATATTAAATCCTTGAATGTATATGACTCTATTTATGGACATTCTATAATGTTCTACTTAGTCATCCTTTTTGGGCCAACACCACACTGTTTCAATTATTGAGGCTTTGTAATGAGTGTTGGATATGGTAGGGCTAGTCTTACCTCTATGTGTTTGTTACATTTTCTTGGCCTTTATTTGTTTATGAACTGAAGAATTAACTTATCTACGTAAAAATAAATCCATTAATATTTTTTTTTTTAAAGATTTTATTTATTTATTTGAGAGAGAGATCACAAGTAGACAGAGAGGCAGGCAGAGAGAGAGAGAGAGAAGCAGGCTCCCTGCCAAGCAGAGAGCCCGATGCGGGACTCGATCCCAGGACCCTGAGATCATGACCTGAGCCGAAGGCAGCGGCTTAACCCACTGAGCCACCCAGGCGCCCAATCCATTAATATTTTTAAAAATATATTCAAAATTAAATCAGAAATATCTGACATCTTTATGATGTAGAATCTTCCTGTGTAAGAACATGCTAGGTCTTTTCATTCGTTCAAGGCATTTTTGAAATTCCCAAGTACTGTTTAAACGTTTTCTTCATTTGATCTTGCACACTTCCTGTTCAATTTATTCCTAGATATTTTCCCTGCTGTTACTGCAAATGCGATCTTTCTTCTATTTTTCTTCTACCTTTATTCTTTTATCTATATTATATTGCATATTCTTAAATTGGTCCCTGATACCTTTAATGAGTCTTCATCATTTGTGATAGATTCTTAGTTGATTATTTTTTTTTCTAGATTTTTTTTTCTAGGTATAGGATCATATTACTGGTAGACATTATTTGTTTTGTCTTCTCTTTGCCAAAATTTATTATTTTTTTTATTTTCAAAACATACACTCATTTCACAAATTTTTATTGACATTTTATGGCTAAGGCACTGCTCTAGACCCTTGGAACACATTAGACAAAATTCTTCTCTTTGTATTTCTATAGTGGTGAGGGAGATATAGAAAAGCAAA